CCTTTTGGATTTTTTTTTTTTTCAAATTGACTATAAAGTAACTGTTAATGTGTCTACTGCTACCATTGGCATTCATATAATTATAATTGAGTTGCACATAATTCTATAAAGTCGTGCATAGATGCAAACAGTTTCTACCAGCTTTGTGTCTGTTGGATTGCAGGCTCACAATTGCAAACAAAAATATAAGATCATACAGAATGATTTACTGTCAGCATTCACTCCCTCTCTCTCTCTCTCTCTCTCTGTAACACAGACACATAGATCCACAGAGTCAGTTAGCAAGCTAACGTCAGCCAAGAGTATGGCCCCTGCCCCATCAGGGAATGCCTCTAAACGGGAGTATTAATAGCAAACTCAGCCAGCCTGTCTGAGAGGGAGCAAACCATCAGAGGTGGAAACAGGTGAATCAATATATATAAAGCAAACCAAGACCACCGTCTAAAAACCCACAACATGTAAGCTGAACCTGACAAATGGAAGCAGTCAATGACACTAGATATATGGTGATTATGCATGCTGTATAATCATATATCTAGTATCGCCAAGAGTAGCATATGTTGAGCAGGGGAGCGCAGGCACGTAGAAGGGGTGCTCATTTTGATGTCTGTGTTCTCATAATTTATGGCTGCAGATTTTCCCAGAGTTTTAATTTCAGAAACCCCTACAACTAACACTGCTGATGAAGGCGGAGAGGCAAACAGCATCTATATGTTGATCAGGCACATAGAATAGAATAGAATAGAATAGAATAGAATAGAATAGAATAGAATAGAATAGAGAGCTTCTGTGTGGAATGCTGCTGTGCATGTAAGGGTTGGCAGGCCGCACTGCAGGCAAAGCAAAGCGACTTGTGTCTGTGTTAAAGGGTGAAGTGTTCACCTCCCATTATGAATTATTCAAGAGCAGAGTCGCTCTGTCTGATGTTGCTGCTACTTGCCCAGCCCCTCTGTCCCCATTATTTTTCTTTCTTTCTTTCTTTCTTTCTTTCTTTCTTTCTTTCTTTTTTTCTTTCTTTCTTTCTTTCTTTCTTTCTTTCTTTCTTTCTTTCTTTCTTTCTTTCTTTCTTTCTTTCTTTCTTTCTTTCTTTCTTTCTTTCTTTNTTATTTTTCTTTCTTTCTTTCTTTCTTTCTTTCTTTCTTTCTTTCTTTCTTTCTTTCTTTCTTTCTTTCTTTCTTTCTTTCTTTCTTTCTTCTGCTTTTACACATCAGGCAATGCATATATCTCTTACTGTAAAAACACATAAACAGCCATGTGTATAGCTATTCCTCTGAATTTTTGTGCTCTAACATATAGTTTACACACAATCCTTAACTTTCACTCTAAACAAAATGAAATCAATCTGTAAAAAGGAAGTTTCTAGTCTTCATCGTTTGGTGAGGACTCACAATGTCAGTCTGCAGCACATGAAGGGAAGTGGGGATTTATTTATTTTTTTATTTAAGTTTTTTTTTTTTTTTTTTTTAGATGGAGGCGGGGTGCAAGTACATTTCCCGCAGTTCTGAAAGGTACCATAGCTCACGGGCGCTCGTGCGCCCCATGGGGACCGCAGTTTCGGTCTCCTCGGGGCCGAGCAGCTAAAAATACCCAGGGCCTCCAGGCGTCCCGCAGTGGGCCTGAACCTCACACCACCTGAGAGAACAAATCTGCGCCAATTCACAACTTCGCCCTTTCTTCCATTAGTGATGACAGACAGAACCGTGACAGTCTAACGCTGGATATTTAATGCTCAGAAAAATAGAAAAAGAAAAGCGTTTAAAGCTTTCAGCTGGATCATCGCGACCTAATAAAGACCAAACGAGTCTGATGGAAAAAGGTCGAGCCAGAGCGGGACATGGGAAACTAATCTAGAGAAACCTAAACTTTTCTCTCACTGACCAATCAAGAGGAAATTATTAAAACAAAATTATGTTTATCTTTTGTTTAACCTGTGATTACACTCATCCATGTGAATATATTTATATAGAATTAAGAAGTAATTGGACATATTCTCCCAAAAAATCTGTTCATGGGTGTTTATTTGATAAAAAATACACAGACCTTATAGATTTCTTTACATTTCTATGAACTATAAGGCACTGAGATGTTCTATAGTAAGCTTTAAGGAGCATAATTACCGTTATTGATTGTATAATCCCCGTGAATGAATGAATTAATAAACTCAAATGCAACAGCGCACAAAAGAATAGCCTAAAACAAATATTTATTTTTAATTTACTTTTTTTGTGTAATTATGGAAATTTGCATTTTTGTTATTTATTTATAAAAAAAATTAAGTCTTGAGAAAGATTCTCTTTTTGATTAAAAAAAAAAATGTAAAGCATCTCCGCCTATTTAAGCTGTTTTAACTAATGTATAAAGACCACGCATATAAGGTTTAAGAGCTTGAAATTACTTTGTTGTCGTTTTTTTTTTTTTTTTTTTTACTTTTTTCCACACATTTAGTGTTTCATATTGCAAACTCTATCATATATATTTGCTTTAATCCATGGCCTGTGCGCCTCAGTCAGCTTAGTGTTTTTCATCGTTGGACAGAAGCCAGATCCGACGCGCTGCCTCCCTGCTGCTTTCTCACTTTTTTCGTCAAAGGAAGTTTATTATCGTGCTGAAAATCTGTTTCCAAATTCCCATAATCTTTTGGTATCTGTATATATTTCTGTAAGAAAGGAGCAGCCCAAAACTAAAGTTATTAAAAATCTGTATAACTACCTGATTTATTTGTTCATATCATCCATGGGCCATTACACTTTAAACTCCCTTAAACAAACCTCTAAAGTTGGTTTGGATGTTTTTACTCTGTGTGGGTTACTTTGTTTTTAACTTTCGGATACTTAAAAAAGAGGTTTATTAAACACACACTCAGTGACACCTCCTCGCACCAATACAGCGGAAGATATATTCAGACTAATGGATGTGAGTCTGGACAGTTTTTCAGCTTTCACTCGCCTCTATAGCAGCCAAACATGTCACTCAAACCCATCAGTAGTTCTCCTGACCCACTAAAAGTTTCTCATTGAGAATGAGCTCTGTTCACTGTAGGTCCGCTTTACGCGTTTGGTTTTTATTCCATTTTGTCACGCAGCATATTCTCCTGACTCACGCCGTCAAGGAGCGACAATAAATTACATCTAATGATCTCCTGCGCTGCTTTAAACTAACCAGAGCTCGAATGAAGCCCTCACTGCAGCAGCTACTCACAAAATATCATATATATATATATATATATATATATATATATATATATATATATATATATATATATATATATATATATATATATATA